GCGAAGATACGTGCATAATTATGTACATACATACATACATACATATGTATGTATATATAAAAGCTTAATGCTCTGACTTTAAAAATGTTTACAGTGCTAAACTTTACCTAATAGCCAGAAATTTCTTGGATGATTCGAAAATTCGGTCTCAAAATGTGAACGTAACTCGCTAACGTTCCAAATTAGCGAGTCATGACTAGCACCCGGATGAGAAGCATCGACGTAGCGAATTTTTAGTTCATGGTCACACACCTGGAATTAATAGTAATAAGTAAATTTTCTGCAAAAACGATTTAAGAACGTACCAAGATAACATTCAAACTGTAGTATCCTTTTCTGTTGTAGTACAGGTGAGAATTTTCGGATGGTGCGATTATTTTAACGTGTGTTCCATCTACACAACCGACAACAGCTGGAATTTTATGTTTAACATAAAAAGCAGTCGCAATTTTGCTTTTTTCTTCCGCTGTCACTGGAAACTGTTCCCACCGTGGGCACAGATACGTCTCAAATATACGTAGCACGTCGGCGAGTGCTTTGGAGAAACTAGACTGCGCTAGTCCAACGTCGTGGTGTTTTCCCACACCCGTCTGATAACCACCTTCCGCAAAAAAGCGCAAACAGGCGCTCAACTTCACTATAGGTGTAACAGCAAACTGCTTCCTACCTGGCTGTGTATGAGTCGTTACCACTTCTAGCAAGTATTCAAACGCCGGTTTATTCAACCTGAAATACTTTTCAAATCTATTTATAGAAATAGAAAACGAAATAGTTAGTTGTTTTATCACATATTTTTGAACTCCTTTACTCACAAAGGTTGAGGCAACTCCAAGGGGTTCATCAAGTCGCGCAGTTTCCTCCTCGCCACTCGTTGCGCGTTTGTTTGTTGCCTTTCTTCCTCACTAATTTCTCTCACTAACATATTTAACGCTAAGCTATTCATTTTTAAGTTTCCGAATCAACCACAATTAATAAAGTTTCGCCAAAACATGCAAAAATCCCATTGGCAAATTATCGAAAAATTGTCAACAATAAGCATAACAGCTGATTTCGAAAGATAGAAAGAGAAAAAATCCTACTCCTAAAAAATCCTTCTCCCCGACAATTTAGAATTGGAGGATTTTTTCTTAGAGGATTTTAAAATTCGCAAAGGAGAAATTCCGCAAGAATATTTAGGATTGGGCTGATAATCTTGAAATCATTTCCAAACTTTTTTGTTTGTTTTCTTATTTGAATTTAAAATTTTTGGGTATTTTTAAATTCAGATTATTTTTTTGAGCTTTGATTTCCGGTTTCGGAGATACTATTTTGTTTCATCGCGACTGCGATATCGGATGCTGAACTTTGAATTTCCTTATTTGAATCTAAAGATTGTGAAGTAACTTTATTGGGAGTTTTGGATCATAAACTTTGAACTAGTTATGATTTCTTTTTAGTTTTCTTTATATATCGTTTCAACTTGATTTTTTTAAGAAATCATATTCCAGCCTTCACGTCACAAAACTTGGATTTTTCGGTCGACTTGTATAGATATACATATTTTTATGAATTTGTTTTGATTTTCGGAGAGTCGAATTATAAGATTGTGAGGTTTTATTGAACGTATCTTTTATTTGTGTTATATCTTTTGATTCCTTTTGGAGGTTTGGATTTTCATTTCTTGTGGTTCTCAATTTTGAATTTCGCACTTTTTTCTACCTTTTCGTTGAAATTACAAAGTTTCGATATAAGTCTTCTTTGGTTGAATATTTTTTGTCATTCTCTGAATTTATTTTGTTTTGTTGAAATCTTTGGAATATCATTTTTAAATTCACCTGGATTTTTATTCATTTTTTTGGCTTCCCTGAGACCTCTTCTGCGAACTTTTAGGCCCTTGTTTTATTCAGATTTCCCCCGTCGACAGTTCGAATTTTGGAGTTTGTATATAGTATTGGATTCGGGCTCACATACATACATAATTTGTTAATTTAAGTTTGCGGTGTAGTGCTATTAATTTTTTGTGTATAGGGGTGCGAGTGAATGGCAAATCGAGAGGGTGAAGAGCGAGAGATTACGGATAGAGTGGTTGCTGGAGGATTGGGTCTGCTTGATTCGGGCCGTAGGGTAACGCGAAGCGTAGCAAGGGCTTTGGAGAACCAGGTGGTCGGCTCTATATTTACCCAAATTGACTCTGGCATTCCACTTCCGGTAGACTTCGTCCCTACAGACTATTTAAATAGGTGTACCGAGAGGATATTTGAGACTGCCAGCCGGGAGTCACGACAATCAGCTATTAGGGTTACAGAACAGGTCGCGGTAAACACCTCAGATAATAGTCTTACACTTTCCCGAAAGATAGAGGAGCTTTCCCGAATGTCAGAGGAAGAGAGTTCAGGGGAAAACATGCCACAAAGTGACCAGCAGCCAGGAGGCTCAATGTCTCAAGATGGCGGGCCGAGTTCTGCAGCCATCAACGTCGAACAGCTGAGTCGGTTAATGGCGATGATGGCACATCAAGGCGATGTAATGGCGAAATGCATGAACGAGGTCCGACAAGTAAAAGACAATGTAGTAAGCCTCAATAATAGAGGCAGTCGGCCAACCATGGCGTCAACTCCAGACGCAGGACGGCATGAAAGCTCTGTAGCGGACCAAGGTAGGGTAGGAAGACGAGTACAAGACGACAACAACTCTCGATCCGGGACCGAGGCAAGGAAGAAGGTTGATCTTGAAAAGTGGCATATAAAGTTTGATGGTACAACTAAAGGTTTTCGGTCGAAAATTTCATATTCCGCGTCGAGAGGATGAGGGAACAGCATGGTATCGCCTACCACCAGCTGTTTACCGACTTCCATTGTTTGGTCACCGGCAGCGCCTTGAAGTGGTACTGGCAAGTACTCGAAGACCACGCCGACGATTCGGACTTCGGGTACCACGAACTTAAAGCCGAGTTGCTGGGCCACTTCAAGACGTCTGAATCGGATTATGAGGTGATCCGAGAAATCATGGAGCGAAAGCAGTCTCCACAAGAAAGCTTTGAGGAATTGTACAGTGAGGTCCATAACCTGACCTTCCGCCTCCGAAGGAAGATACCTGAACATGGGCTGGTAGGAATAATCCGGGGAAACCTAAAGCCGTATCTCGCAAATTTGACCTTCGCGTCGCGAATCACAAGACTAGCGGAATTAAAATCAGAATGTAAGCGAGCCGAGAGGGTCATTAGAGAAAATAGAAACAGGTCGAAGACAGTGGGCGTAGTAGAATTTATGTTAGAGAGTAGGGTAGAGGAGAGAATAGAACCGAAAGTATAAGAAAGGAATGTAGAGGCAATAAATAGGACCCAGTATAATAAACCTCCACTGGCAGTGTCAGTCCCCAATAGAGTGCCCCCGTCCGTTGATTCCAATGTCCACAAACCCACTATCCACTCGTTTAGTCCGTCTCCTTTCCACCTGATGTTGTGTCTTAAGTGTGGTCTTCCCGTCGATCACTATGTAAAAAACATACTTGACGCCCGGAAGGAAGATAAATGTGTGTCCAGGTTCCACGATATGATATGTTTTGCATGTGGCAGTAATTCGTCATTCTGTGTGTATAAGCCTAATCCGGGAAACCAGAAGCTGGCGGAAATCTCCGGGAACTCTTGCCAGCAGAAGGACCACCCGGAGACAGGCCAGTGAACAACCCAGTGATAGTTTTAAGGAGAGGAGTTGGTGAGAGGATAGTCAAGAGTAAGTTAGAACCAGTAGAAGATAGGAAAGAAATTAAAAGTTTACACCAAAGAAAAATGGAGTATGAGGAGGCAAGAAAGCGCATATTTTGTGAGGAGATAACTAAGAAGAAAAAGAATAGAAATTTCGAGAAATGAGGGAGAAGAAGAAGAACCCCAGAAGGATTTGTAAAAAGATCGTCTCAACTATAGTAACACTAAAACGGGATAACAGGTTTTTTGTTAGAACTATAATTGGAGATCAGGAAGTATTCGCACTCCTCGACTCAGGTTTAGGAGCCAGCTGCCTAGGGAAGAACTCTGAGGAACTCCTTGAAGGAAAGGAAAGCCTCATAATGCCGACTAAAGGCCAGAACATTCGAACGGCCAACGGAGGGGCACAGCGGTGGTGGGAGTCATCACACTGCCCGTTCTCTGGGATAATTTCACTCGAGACTTGGAATTTTTGACTGTGCTGGAACTCCAACAAGAGGTCTATCTTGGCGTTGACTTCTGGCAGGCTTTTGAAATGAGTGTTGTGAGTAGGGGTGTGACAACAAGAGTGAACGGTCCCGTCGTCGCGGAATTGGCACCCGCCGAAGGCGACCTAACGTTTGATGCGGTGCAACATAGTCTAGCCCATGAACAAGAGGCGGCACTAGAGCGAGTTAAGGCCCAATTTCCTTCTTTTTCTGTGCTAGGGTTAGGCTGGACGGATAAAGAGGAACACGTAATCGGGGTCACAAACGAAAACCTCCCAGTGAAACAAAGGCACTACCCCATCTCGCCAGCAATCCAGAAACATACATATGCAGAATTAGACAGGATGCTAGAGATGGGCGTGATAGAGGAGAGTAATAGTAGCTGGAATTCTCCCGTTTCGCTAGTGGTTAAGGGTACAAAGAACCGGCTTTGTTTGGATGCGCGGAAGGTAAATGAGCGAACAATAAAAGATGCGTATCCGCTTCCCCACATTGACGGCATCTTAAGCCGCTTACAGAATACCCGATTCATCTCAGCAATTGATTTAAAGGACGCGTTTTGGCTAATACCTCTGTAGAAAAAGTCAAGGAAGAAACCCGCTTTTACGGTGCCTGGGAGACCTCTTTACTACTTTACCGTCATGCCTTTTGGGTTGTGCAATGCTGCACAACGTATGTGTAGGCTTATGGACAAGGTTATACCCGCTTCTTTACGTGAGTCCGTGTGTATCTAGATGATTTGCTTGTTTGTTCAGAAGATTTTGTGTCTCATTTGTCGTTGTTAGAGAAAGTAGCTAGGTGTCTTCGTGATGCAAAGTTAACAATAAATGTTGAAAAGAGTGAATTTTGCTTTAAAGAAGTACGGTATCTCGGCTATGTGGTTGGAAACGGGTGCATTCGAACAGACAAAATAGCGGCGATGAGGAACTTTCCACAACCACGAACCCCAAGCAGCTCAGGCGGTTCCTGGGGATGACAGGGTGGTACCGTAGATTTATTCAAGACTACGCGACCATTGCAGCACCGCTGCACGACTCCCTCACAAAAGATAAAATAAAGAAGTGTACAATGACAGATGAAGCCAGAAAGGCATTTGACCTCTTAAAACAGAGCCTAATTTCGGCACCTGTACTGACACACGCGGACTTCAACCGACATTTGTATATACAATGCGACGCATCAACTGACGGTGTGGGAGGGGTACTCTTCCAATTGGATAATGAAGGCAACGAGCGGCCGATAGCTTATATTTCGGCGAAATTAAATAAGGCGCAACGCAACTACAGCATCACTGAATTAGAATGCTATGCGGCGGTGCTTAGTGTGAATAGATTTAGACCTTATGTTGAGGGACTTCCGTTTACGGTGATTACTGACCACGCGAGTCTGAAATGGTTGATGAACCAGAAGAACCTATCTGGCAGACTCGCGAGGTGGAGCTTAAAGCTCTAAAGCTATAACTTTGATATACAACACCGGAAAGGGTCCCAAAACATTGTGCCGGATGCATTATCTTGCGCTAACATGGAGGAATAACTACGAATAGCCGAATGCTAGATGTGTGTCTCGATTCGCCTTTCTTCAAATCGGAAGAGTACGAAGAGCTGAAAAAGACTGTGACAGATAACGGTGACAAACTGCCTGAAGTGACCATATCGGACGGATACGTGTAAAAACGGACGCAGTTTAACACGGGGGGTGATCTTCAGCAGGACCACGCCAGGAAACTTTGGGTTTCAACAGAGCTGCGTCGTGGGTTGGTGGAGTCCTCGCATGATTCGCCATCTGCTGGCCATGGTGGGATACACAAAACACTATCCAGAATACGAGAAAAATATTATTGGCCGGGGATGGTAACCGAAGTACAAAATTACATTAAAGGAGATTTACAAGGGGAATAAAGCACATAATGCGTTTCACAGGCCCCTGATGTGAAAGCAACACATAACCGAGAGACCTTTTAAACGTTTATTCATAGACTTTATGGGTCCATACCTGCGTACGTGTAGTGGAAATGTCTTTTTGTTTGTGTGTTTAGACCATTTTACGAAATTTGTGTTTTTGAAGCCTATGCGAAATGCCACTTCAGCTAACGTAAAGTTTTTGGAAGACGAAGTGTTCCACATTTTCGGCGTTCCCGAGTATGTGCATTCTGACAACGGGAAGCAGTGTTATCAGAAGTTTTCAATTCATTTTTAGAGAGGTACGTGTACATGTGTACGGTACATATCAGGACGGCTTTTTACTCGCCTCAGGCCAACGCGGCCGAAAGAGTAAATCGCTCTGTCCTGCAAATTGTAAGGCCATACATCAACGAGAACCAAAAGAACTGGGACAAACACATAAGCGATGCCGCCTTCGTCTTGCGGAGTGTGGTGCACACTGCAATTAATAGCTCCCCGTACTGTGCCCTCT